ATATATGCTTTTATTGTAAATGTAACATAAATGATTAAGATTGACTTTTTTAATCACATTCAACAATCATTAAAATAATTATCTTTAAAATTTATGTAAAAAAATTATATATTTAATTCAAATACCTATCATAATCATCAATGCCAATAAGTCTGGGATTCTTTTCTTCATCTAATTGATTCAAGATTCTTAATTGTTCCTCTGTCGACGCTTTATCTATTTTTCGCGACATAAAATGAGCATACAATTCTGTCTGGGTAATAAGAAAATTTAATTTCCTTTGCTGACGTTTTGCCTAAAATAAGAGCAATATAAAAACATTCGAAAAAATAAACATTAGAAAATGTATCCTTTTATATATTCTAATATTCTCTTACTTCAATAAGTTCTACATCCATTTTACGTTGTTCTTCAGCTTCTTTCTCTAACCTTCTTTTAGTTTCCCGTTCGACTCGGTCATAACGTTTCCAGTAAGTCTGCATTTCTCTTGTCAAACGTTTTGCCCGCCAGATAGTATCCTTCATATTTCTCTGCGACTGAAAGAGATAAATATATATAGTATGTACGATTAATAATTTTAAGTAATAAGTATTAATCTAAGTATTAATATACTCACTTGCATGGCTTTTTGCCTCCAATATTTCATACAATGCTGCGCTACTTTCTTACAACTTATTAGCATTTCCTTATGATTATTGGTTTTCGCCCTTTGTACTTTTCCTAGTTCTTTTTTAGACATCATCACCCATATTTTTCTTCTTCTCATTGTCATCACTTCAACACTCTTAGTATTATGTTTTTTCCTACCTCTACCTCGAGGTTGATGACGCATGATAGCTTCCAATTCAGATTCATCTAACTCTTCTTCTCTGGGAATTGATTTATCCCATTCTCCCTCCAGATATTCCCCTTTCTAAAAATAAAGCATATAATATTTCATAAAAAGGAAATAAAACGTATGTCAATATAAATGTAATATAAAATTTAGTACATACACGATATTCCTCAGATGCGCAGTGACGATTAATTTTTTCCTTCTTGATTTTCATAATTTTTTTTTCTGGCTTTTTCTCTTTCTTCTTTTTATTTCCCACAATTAACTTTTGATGCTCTAAAAATCTATCGTAAGTGGATAATAAACCCGCACTATAATATTGATATTGTATATTCTGAAAATAACAATACTTTATAAATAAAAGAAATAAGAATAGGCTAATAAACCAAGTCAGTTCCAAATTCTTAATTCTATATTGTAAATTAAAATATAGTAAGAATATTGCAAACAATTCAACCTGTAACAAAGTTAAAGCCATATGCTATATAACAAAAACATAGTAATATACAAAATAAAATATAAGTAAAAATAAATAAAAACAAGTAATTGAAAATCGCACGCATAAAGTAAAAAGATAATATCGTTATGAAATTGTCATAATATCAAATTATAAATTGTTAGTGGAATCCTCAGGATACAAAAATATTAAACGGCAACATTCTTTGAAAAAATAAGAAAAATAAGTATGTGTAGTTTAGGGATGTAATTTTATAATACATAAATATATATTTTATAATATCCTGAATTATTTGCATTATTAAATATACAAAGTTTAACTATAATATGATCCTTACTTCTGGTTTTTGATAAAAACGACCTTGATATTTTTTTCGTAATATGTGAAACTTCAACATCTCTTGAAAATCTTCTTCTGTGATTTGACTATCTGTGTCAGAACCTGATGCAGAACTATCAGAGGAATCACTTAAAAGAATATCTTGCAACCAACGTCTTTCTTCTCCTACACTAGACATATTGTACAGCCTTAATTTATTGATTCTTGCTTCTAAAAAAATAATTTATGTTATGAAAACATTAATTAAATGATTTAATAAAATTAAAATCAATGTTATATGCCAACCTTCTTTTCGCGTGGGTACATTATCAAGATAAGCATCTGAACCATCAGAAGATTCCGATGAGACAGACTTGTCATCTTCACTGAAAAATAGAGACAAAATATTCATATTACTGTATCCATAGTACTAATTTATGATGTATTATTAATATATTACAAGTTAAAAAGACAAGAATATACTTAACAGTTAATAAATATATTAGTACCTAGCTTGTTCTTGAAAAAGATTATCGATTTGCTTTAAGAAAGGCTGTACATTCAAGCTGCGTTCCAGTCTCTGCAGATGCAAAGGCGCAGCCATCTCAGCTTCTAGCTTCATCGTGTTTGCTCTATCAGACATTACCCGTCTATGAGAAACCTAACAATCTGTAACAATATACGATAAATAAAAAAGGACCTTAGCAATTTAGAAAATAAAATAATTTTATTTATACCTATAAACTATCAATCTCTACAAATCTTTCAATAACATGCAAAAATAAATCTTTCATTAATGCTTGCAAATTAAAAAATGATACTTGATCGTTTTACTAAGATAGTGAATATATATATATATAATAATAAACATACAAGTTTTAGCAGTATAGTGCAAGTTTTTCCCTCCCAAAAATTGTAAAAACCCAATAAGATAACGTTGAAAAGCCTTGCAGGCTGTAATGAAAATAATGAAAACGAGTGTTACACGAGGATACGTGGGATATCGACATAATCTACCGGGATGGAAAAAGGAAAACGTGCATGTTCCCAACAGCAAACCACGGAGAACGCTTCTCAGCTGGGCTACCGTTATCGTACTTTGGGGATTCTCGTGTTTCTAGCAGCGGATGACGCATATTACGGGCGTGGAACTGGCATGCGGGATCGTGCGCGGCTAATTTCATTATATAAGGCGAGTGACACGTCGTATCGGGAGCTGGTGCGGTTATAATTCGGCTAAATATCTCGCCAACGGCTTTTGCTTTCACCTTATGTTTTGGTTATAAGACGGCCCCGCTTATTTCGCACGCGTAACAAAGTCTACTACCGGAATGCGATTTCCTCTATTCACAGCGGGATCAGATACATCGGTCGGAGGGGAATACATGATAGAAGGAAGCCTAGAGAACGCAGACATTTGGTGTGCCATTAAAGCGGGGCAGGGATAGGGCATATTGCTCGCTACCATTTTTGTTTTCAGTAGGTGGCGCTGGTGACGCCCGTACGCGCAGCTCCTGGCGGATCTCGTTTCTCGATACTCCTCTCGGTATCCACCTGTGTGCATGTTATACATACAATTTCGAATTACGGTCCAAATCTCGAGCCGTTTTCTAGTATATGCCGCGATGAACGTTTATCTCACGCAAATGCGCGATCCAAGATTCTCGCGTTGCCCCAAAAACGCGCGACTTTGGAAAATTTATATTATGTAAAGATAGGGAAACATTGGTGAAAAAGAGATAGCGAAGCAATTTCGATATATCGACAACGCGTTAATTTCTTCTGCCGTTTTCTTTATCATAATCGAATACAAAATATATCCCGTTTCGTTGATGCAATAAAATTATTGCATGCGTTATTTTTCAATCTTTAAACGCACGATTTTTATGTAATAAAAGATCTGTTAGCGTTGCTTGCACTTTTTGCACTCAGCATTTTCATCTTTTCTCTCTTCAATGCCTGAATATATTTATCTCTTTTTAAGCGTTTTTGTTGGGGATTTTAAGCAACGGAGATAATGCTTTTTCATGCTGTCACTCGACGGTCATTTTCGGCGTTAAAATAATATAAATGATAGAAATTAAAATGATAAAAATTGATGAATATCAAGGAATATCAATTTTGATCACGCGACCTATTTTGATGCTAAAAATGAGCGTCAGCATGAAAAAGCACCTATAGACATAGATAACGTAACATGTACAGTGTCTGTAAAAAAAACTATGTTGATTCATGTATGTATTCCTGTAGAAATTTTAAAATTCTTACAAAGGCGTAAGGCTGGCGTCCAATGAGCGGAAATTTACAGTGGAACGGAACAGCGCGACCAATCACAACTCTGCAATCATTACTCTGATATGATCATTACTCTTATCTTTCTTTTCTGAGATTGTGATTGGTCTCGAACTCCCTAAATTACGAATAAATTGCAGAAATTACATTTAAGGATTTTTTCTAGAAAAATCAATAAACAATTTGAGGTCAGCTCGAGCATCAATAATTAGGCCTGTTCATTTTGGCTAAACTTTTGCACCAATTCATCTTTCTTCCTTTTCTCTCCAGGAAGAAAGAAGAGGAAGAAAGATGAACTGGTGTAAAAGTTCAGCCAAAAAGAACAAGCCTATTAAAACACGTATCGCCTTTATTCACCATTTGCTTTCAGTGCAATTCGCAATTTCGGTAAAATACCTGAAAATAATTCGAGAGAAGCGCCACATTTTTCCATATTTTCCACGAAACTCTTCAAGTAATCACGCTTCTTCGTATTCAGCCGAGTAATCACGATCCCGAAGAATTCGGAAGTTCGAATCGCGCTACTACGTGAGTAGTATACTTCCGTTTATGCGCGTCGCGCGCGTTCTAGCCTCGAACCCGCACCGGAAGTGTTCCCCATCAACTGTAAAAGTAACCTATTTCACCGATAAACGTCGTCAAGTTATTTTAACAGTATCGCGAAGCATCCGTAAAGATCCTCGGATTTTATCCGAGTCGAATTACGTCGATCGACCGAGCGACTGAATCCCGCGTAAAAGCGAATGACCCACAGAGTACAGGGGTGGGGGAAGAGTAAATCGTTCGATGGAATCTTGTATCATCCTTTTTCGAATTACTTTACAGAATATACCTGCACACATTTCCGCTGTACACGCTGCATCATCGTTTCGACGAGAAAGTTCTGTGCTCTGTCCAAGGCCAGACGAATTCTTTCTCTCGGCCGTTGCGTGAGTTGCGTCGTTGGTGGGGAGAAGGGAAGGGGAGGGGGAGGGGAAGTAGCACCGCCACCAATACGGTACGTCTGGCGTCGAGGCTACGCACTGCGCGCCGTCGAGTGAACCCCGTTTTGTTTCCGTTGTTGCTACGAGGCTACCTCACCGTGCGGAGTTCTCTGCTCAGTATCATCCTCAATCTCGTTGATTTCGTGTTACAGGAGAGCTCACTTATCGCAAGTTACTTACCGCAAGTTCAACGTTCAGGTGAGTACAAATAATCAAATGTCTGTTTCGTCCGATAATTTCCGTAGCTGGTCTCTCGGGGGGGAAAAAAACTGTGAATGTTGTAAAACGAAGTTCGATTATCCGTTACTCTGTGTAACGTGATGTAACCCTCGCATAGAGCACGCTCTCTTACCAGCTTTCGTTCCCGCTCGGCGAAATACGCGCGATTCGCTTCAACGCGGTGATGACGACGCGTTTCGCGACGAAACGAAAATCCGCGTCGATTCGAGGAAAGCATGCGATCGCGGATCATTGTTTATGCGCGTCGCGTTAAAATGCGGATCGTTTTTCCGCGGCCATTATTACGACTCGTTCACGGCGCAATAAACCGACACGGCGCCTTCCATATCGATCGTACCGATTCGATGAAGCCGGATGAGCGTGGTGTTTCCGAGATCGGCACAAATTTCTAAAACTTTCAACGTGGCGTCTTATCGCGTGCACGCCGGCGTAACGCAATGAAAATGTTCTTTCTAATTCCATACTTTTTTTCCCCCCTTCAAGTCTTGCGCAAACGGAAAAGAAATTCATGCGTCCTCTCAATCACGGCGTGAAACAGCGAGTTCCATGCGATGCGCATCTTCCGGGAAATTTCCGTACGTTTGTCTCGTGAAGCGTGTCAGCACCTTGTTGCATTAAAGAAACATCGAGAATAATTAATGATTTTTCTTACATATACGTTGATAAAACAGTAGCATACGATATAAATATTATATATTGGAATAATGAAAATTATTAATAAATCCGAGATTAAATTTAATTTGAGTTACTGTATTCCTTGAAAGAACAATTATAGAAACACCGTTATGTTTTGTTTACAAACAATTAAAGTTTATTTTTAACCGTCTCTCGGTTAGAATTTTGGAAAATAACGATTATCTTATGTTGTCATGTGATTAAACGGCAGGTTCTGCAGGTAGCCTGTTATGTAAGGTGTTTTTATATTTTCCTTTAAGAATGAGCACTCGAGTATTCGTTGGTGGCTTAACGTACCGGGTGAGAGAGCGCGACCTTGAGAAGTTCTTCCGGAAATATGGTAGAATCAAGGAGGTCGCTATGAAGAATGGATTTGCCTTTGTGGTAAGTCTAATGTGGTTCAATTGTTTTTTTTACAGTATGGTAGGGACAAGAGTCTATGTCAAAGAGACCTTGAGAGATTTTTCAGAGGCTACGGTCGGTTCCGTGATGTTCTCATCAAGAATGGTTATGGCTTTGTTGTAAGTATCTGTACCCAGCTGTAAATATCTTGAGTATAACACTTTACATCGCTCAATTTGGTCCTATAATATTTTCATTTATTTGTCTGCAATTACTACACAAATGTATATCTCTTTGAAACTGATATGTTTTAAAAATTAATGAATCTTGATTTTTAGCTTTGTAATTGTTTTATAAAAATACCTTCTAACTATTTGGAAATTTTTCTTTATAAATTTATTGAATCGTGTAGCATATAACATTTTGTGTTAAAGATTACTGATTCATCTCTCGATCACTTTCCCTTATTTTATGAAAAAATGAAAATTATATTTGATATTGCATCATTGATGTAATAATGTTTTTGAATAAAGAGATGATAAAATTTATTTCCAAAAGAGATGGTTGTTCGTTTTAAAATTTATTTCCAAAAGAGATGGTTGTTCGTTTTTTTTTATCATTATTTGGACCAAAGTGGGTAAGCTGCAGAGTGTTAAATTACAAATATACAACTCGATAACCTGAGTTGACCTGACCTGAGCCCTGAGCACACTGGTACTGTGGCAGTTTAGTGGAGCTGTGTGCTGCTTATCACCGATTATTCTGCAAAAGCTTTGTAAGTTATGTATAATCAGGAAAACTAAACCATCTATAATGGGCTATGTACTACCAGATAGTTACTTATACCAATAATTTGAAATTTTGTAGCACATGCAATAACCTAGACTATGCACTTTATATAGTTTTATATATATATATATATATATATATATATATATAATATTTGATAATATATGATTTATTTATTAAGTGAAAAAATGATATCCTACTCTAAAACTTTTGCAGGAAGAAATTTAAAAAAATTGTATATAAACATTTTAGATAATTATGAATAAATTAAAGTCTTAGCAATTAATATTATGCATATCTAAGCATTCTATCACATCTATGATGATTGATTTTTATGTTTTATTATATACATTTACAATTCGTAAATAATACAGTGGTATTTATAACTTAGCATTATTTATGAAAGCTTTTATAATTAATACATAGATCGCATATAAATACATCAGTAATATATGATCCAACCGATATTGAAATAAAAACAAATGCATATTATTTTTAAATAATAACGAAAAAATTCCTTTTTTTTTTAGGAATTCGACGACTATAGAGATGCTGACGATGCCGTATACGAATTAAACGGAAAAGAACTTTTAGGCGAAAGGTAATGCAATTCTATTTTATTTAATGTATGAAACATACATGTATACTAGGCGATATTAGGCGGAATGGTATAGGTAGCATGTTTGCATGACTGAATAGTTTCTATAACAATCCATTTAGTATGTGGATTGTTATTGTGATTACATTAATGTTTGAATTATATCATAATTATAATATTATTGGTACTGGGGGTTCACTGTTTAAACACTAAAAAATTTTAATTCATGCTAACACACTAAGGGTGAGTTAAATTTGGGATTAGCGAAATTAACTAATATCACAACAGATATGTAATTCCTTTCTACAAATCTTTATAATTTATGTAAATATTAAATAATACATCTATTCTGTTGACAATAGCAATCTTAAGAATACATTTTGTTATTTCATGTACAGAAATAAATTATAATAATTTAATATGATCATCTCTTATTAAAATTAAAATATTAGTACATTGCAATATAGCTAATTTGTAACAGTTTATTTTTAGAATGGTGATGATGCGATATTTATTATATCGAGCTATAAATATCTTTTGATTTGCATAATAAATATTCTTTTCTGACTAATTAATTACTAAATAATGAAATTTTTTAATTACTTGATTCTAAATGGCTCAAATTTACTGACGATTAGTGTCTAAGACTACGTTTACACGGACACTTTAATCGAGTTTAATAACATTCGTAATTAGAAGCTAGCTAATCAGTCATTCCATTCTTCAGAGGAATAGCTATGATTGGCTAGTTTCATAACTATGGATGTTATCAAACCCGATTAAAGATATTCGTGCAAACGTAGTCTTATTTAAGGAACTTAATTTTTTAGGATCTTTTAAAAATGTTAAGTCACTAGAGACATTCACACATAGAAATAATAAATATTGTTTTACCTGCGAATTATTTATTACTTACATAATTTAACTCAATATTTCTTTCTCGATTAAATGTTTTATCTTAAGTAAACAGTTTGTTATCAACTTGATATCTTGTTATATATCACTTGAGATTAGATTGATGTGAGAAGCAATAGCATTCGAATGAGAAAATGAAATCTATTCAGCACAACACGTAAAGTAACTTTCTCTGAAAAAATTTCTTTTCTATATGCTTATTCTTTCTTTCTTTTGGGAATTTATGTAAGTGTCAATAATATTAGTAGCGTTTACATGTAATAAATAATAATAATTTTCAATATTTTCACATATAATAAACATTGTAATAGCTGATAAAGTGTGGTCGAATGCGGTGGCAATATTCTTAACGCTCTCTAATCGCATTGCATTTCAACCTGTACCAGTAATATTATTCGCTGTTGCTTTTATTTAATTAAAGACAAATGTACAGTGCACAATTGTATCTGTTCGCATTTAACGGGTGTTCCGTTAATACCTTTAATTTTGCATCTATAGTAAACGGCGTCTGTCCTCCAAATTAACGATTGGACATTTAGCGAGATAAAATGCGTCTTAAATGACTTACCGCCATTTTGAACTACTTCCATCAATTCCCCGAGTAAAAAAAGTCTTGGCAATAATATATCTTCGTCTGGAGAAATGTTATATTGCTTCTTTTTTGCCGAAAAATTTGGCACATGTGCTTTTTCATAAATTCATTGTGTGATCCTATATAATGCACCGCATCATATTTTAACTTAAAAAAAAATCGTAATATACGGAGAAAAATATTTTATTGAATTAACTGAAATTTTGATGTAAAATTAACGATCCAGAATTCTGGTCAAGTCTATCAGATTTCTGATTAATTTTAGTAGATTTATAACTAAGAAAATTTTGAATATTATTTTAACTAGAATTCTAGAATATTTTATCATAAATCTAGTAGGTTTAACCAAAATTCTGGATCATTTAGCTTCCACTAGAATTCCAATTAATTGAATCATTTTTCTCCGTGTAAGGATCACAGATATAGTTATGAAAAAGCTGATGGATGTGGTAAAAGAAAATTAATTCGATAAGTAGCATCGTATAAAGAAAACAGTTTAGACTATATAACGAATACGAACGATAACGGGTCGTGAGAGAGAGGGGGAGAGAGAGAGAGAATGAGAGCGAGAGCGAGAGAGAGAGAGAGATAGGGGGAAAGAGAAAGAGAGGGGACAGCGCCTCAGACGAAACCGGACGATAGAGAAAGAGAGGGACGGATGATATTTGATCAGATTTCGCGGAGAAAGGAGACTGAGGAATGGAAAGGAAAAAAAGAAGGAAGGAAGGAAGGAAGGCAGGACTGAAGCAGCTTTAGAGAGTAAGAATTAGTCGTGGACTTAGGCGGGGTTTTGTTGGGTGTGTTTCAGAGTGGCGGTGGAGATAGCACGGGGTGTTTCAGGGAGGCGAGGCGACCGTGGCTACGGACGCTCACGCTCCTGGAGAGACAAGTAAGCATATCCAATGTGTCTTGTTACAGAATTACTGTAGAGAGGGCCCGGGGGACACCTAGGGGTAGTGACCAGTGGCGCTATGGTGACTCCCGTGGTGGTTATGGGGACTCGAGGCGATCTGCGTAAGACACGCTATCCTTTTTTTTATTTTATCAGAGCGATCATTATCCCCTCCTCCCCTGCAGGCAGCCGGCTCGGGATGTGCGAAATCCAAGCGATTGATTAATTTACTTCCCATTCGGATACTTTTCTCTTATGTATGGATTTTTTGTTTTTTTTCTCCCATTTGTTTTTTTTTTATTATATATATATATATTTTTTCTTATATTGTCTTGAGTTTCTTATGCCGCGTAAATCGATTTCGCACATCGTCCGCACAGGGAAGAACGTAACCTTGGATATTGATAAGCTCTAGCATAAAGAGGGCGTAAAGACGAGTGATAAATTACGCGTTTGTAAAGTTCTCTTGCCTTTGCGCATACGAAAATACGTTTAATTAGAAATCAAAGTTTCAGCTTCAGAATTGGTTGTCTTGGATTTGACTACTCTCCCGAGTACGTCGAATTGTTAAAGTTTTGCCGCGATTAAAAAAGTGATAGCAATATAACGCCTAGCGATTACCCTCCCAAACATTATGTTTATTGCTGGTAGTTGAACGAAATGATCCGATGTAATTGGCGACTAATAGATATGTGGTATTGTGTTTGTTACAGCCGAGACGATATGCGGCACGACAGGTACGCTATTGCTGCATTTTGAATAGATTTGATTCGATTGGAACAGGTGATTGATTGTGTGCCTGAGCAATGAGTGCAGATCTGTAGTTATTTGCTGAAGGTTTAACCGACGATCCGTTATTTCTGTTCACATGACATCCCTTTTTGCAGAGATAGTGTGAACAGAAACACGAGGACTGCATCTAGCTACAAGCAATCATTGCCCAGGTACATACATCCAATGTTACGCTCTAACGATTACACCTTAACTTACATAAACTTACTGTTTTGTAAATATCTTGAATTATATCATTATTACGTTTTTTATACCATATTTTCATTCGCATTTACATTAACATAAAGTCAGGTCCAAGACAAACCTGCTTGCTCTAAAAACATACATGTAGATAATAGCTGGTCTTTTTCCCATTGTAGATATGGCCCACCGACTCGCACCGAGTATCGTTTGACTGTGGAGAATTTATCGAGTCGTGTCAGTTGGCAGGTAAGTGACACATATCTCGCTTTTTTCTTTACCTTATATTTTTACCGATAATTACCTTCGCTGGTTTGATTACTATTCGCGTTTCCAGAAAAAACATTGCACTACTTTATATGGGTTTTTCAAATTTATATATATCTCTCCGGATCTCTAAGTTTTTCCGAACTTTTTTACAGTCCGTTTCTACTAAAGTTCCACGCGTGTCGATAAATAGCATTTCTTTTGTTCTTCAATTGTCTTTCGTCTCATTTTACGTTTATTTATTCAGAATAGAAAGCCCTATTTTGGAATTTAAAAAGATGTAAGATTTTGATCAAGTAAGTCTGGCAAAAATTGAAATCAAATTTTTATATACATGTGCAAAAGACATTTTCCATGAAAAAAAGAAAAATTAGAGAAAGAGAATAAAAATCCATATGGACGACAGAAATATCAGACACGTGCGAGATGCAAGAAATGCATTGCGGATCACCATACCTAATACAAGGGCACAGGTTTGCACGAGGAACTCGGAGTAACAACATGGCCCGTGATGAAGCAGCCAGATACTATTGGACAAAGATATTCGGCGGACACCGTGGATGCGAAGAGCTCTAAAGCGGAAGAAACGAAGCAACGAATGGAGACGATAGACCGAATGGAGCGATACAGATAAATGCAAACGATATGTGGGAATACCAGGACGCAAGTGGATGCTTTTAAAACCAAAAAGCCATAAAAAATTATACTCAAATCGAAATGAAGACTGCACGTAAACCAAGTCTTACTTGATCAATTTACATTGTGTATATATTTGTATATTACATACATAATCTATGAAAGTAGATATATATTTTTTCTATAACTGTCGTTGCACTTTTCCGATGATTGGTTATTTACCAAAAAATATTCTCTCGATCGAGTCTTGATTGTTCGACGTTACTTTTTCAATTTATTATTTCATTTACGTTCGGCCAACAGTTTGAGAAAAAACAAAATAAAATTGATGTTCTTTCCGAAGAGCCATATCCTCTTCGCCGAGGAGGGGCGACCGGTAGGGCCAATAGACTGATGTGCGATGATAGAGATGACGATGCACGCGATGGGCCCGCCTTGAGGTCAAGTGGCACCAGGTTGGTTTCTGAGGTGTCCCGGGTGACAGAGAGAGCCGCGTGGCACTGGGATGTACACCTACCACCACCTATCTACCATCATACTACTACTCGCGCGCAGTAATACGTGGTGAATCCCGGTGAAATCCCAGTGATAGGGCTATTGTGCATACTTCAATCCTCTTCATCGTGATCACTGGGGAAAAAAAAGAAAAAGAGAGAGAGAGAGAGAGATCCAACCGCCGCTATCTACTTTATCCGTCTGGGAAACAAACATTTATTTACGTATACAACCTCCACCAATATATATCACCACTCTTCCTATTACTATAAACCGACATGGTCATAATTCAGTACCTTCACCATCGACCATCATTACAACCACCATCACATCTACCACTTCACTGTGACTGTCATTGCTACTGGTACGCCATGCAACCTAGCCATCTAGTAAGTCAGGCAACAGCCACACCCATGAGGGCATACACGGGCCGAAACCCGAACCATCCGCGACTACGCCGTACAGATCCGTTCGACCCGACCGAGCGCCGTGTGTCTGGCCTTTCTCTCTGTCCGTAAGCAAGGTGGTGCCTGGGCCCAAGGTAAATGCGTCACCTTAACCGAGTGTACTCTTAGATATACACATATATATCTATTATAACTACACACTCTTGAACGTGATTTTGTTCACATATGTATACTATATATATATATATATAATTATAATATATATACTTATTTATACACCTCCTTATTTAATATTACTGTGCACTATAGCTCAGCGTACATCGAACTGTTCAAGTTTTATGAAGTTCGGAGCTGTGCACGCGCAACTAAATGCGAAATCGGAGATAGGGAATCACTAGTGATATATTTATGTGCTCGAAATTAAAAATCTACTTACTCACTAAATCAATTTTGTGTCCCAACATACTATGATAACGTCCAGATGTTTTCTATTTATAACAATGAATATCTTTCTATCGCGAATACGTTTCAAAATTTTCTGAATAGCAAAAGACCAACTTTTCTTTATGCAAAATAATAATTTGCATTATTACATTATATTTTAAATGTAGCAAGTGAGGAATAATATTTCAGAGGAAATTTATCCAGCGTTGGAAATATATCTTTGGCAATGGCATGCGTTCTATTTTTCCTTTTTTTTTTTTCTTTTATTACAATGGAATTTGCGCTTGGATCTTGAGAAACATCAGCATAAATTTCAGACAGGCCGCCGCCATGTGGTATCCCATATGGAGATGTCTGCGCTATCTCATATTCGCCATGTAAAACAACGGACACAGCCACCTACTGTCTACCTAGTATCTCCATAACACTAAAGCCGTACCTGGTTCCCACACACGTACAGAGAGAGAGAGAGAGAGAGAGAGAGAAAGGGAGAGAGAGTGAAAGAGAGAAATATACATATAAGCAAATCTCCCAACGATGAACGCAAATGGACCACTAGACAATATTTACCTTCACTCACTAATATCCTTCATGAGTAATAACTGCGAAGCATCGAACTGGATGATGTGTGGAAGAGACAACAAAAAAGAAAGAGAAGAAAAGATAATGTGGAAGACTTCTGTTCACAATACAGAGTAATCTTATAACATTAAGAGAAAAAATCCAAGAAAATATTACAGGAGAAGAATTATCGATGAACTTACTATGTTTTTATTTTTAGCGAAAAATTAACACAATTTTTATCCTTAGTTCCTTATGTTTTAAAACTTATTTTTTTCTATTTTATTGCGATGCAGAATGTATTTACATAGCTTTCGAAACTTGCTTAACTTTTGCTGAATTATGTTTATGTATATTAAATTTTTAATTATCGCTTTATAGCGATTTTTTTGCTGTATGTAATTCTTTCTAAAGAATTATATACTACTTAAAACAGTATATTAAATATATTAGTTACAGTTATATTATTTTTTATGACATGTTACAGACATTTAAAAAGTATCGCATTTATTACTTTTGTAATTATATTGTGAGCCATCCTGCAGAAATGAAAATTATTCTCAAAAAGTCCATTAATTGACTGATACGAGTATTGATTGATTTATATAAGCGTTTTATAAATAATGTTTCATTATGCAGGGTGGAGTTGTCTATATGTATAAATTAAATCATAATAATTATTTAAAAGATTGAATTGCACAAAAAGAAAGGTTGTGTCGATAAGTAGATACTAAATTCGAACACGTAATTGATAACTTTATTTTCAACACTGAAGACGCGAGCAGATGTAGACACCATCTATGCTATGCTTATCTCTTTCTCTAGTCGAGTAGATCCAGGTTACCTCTGTCAAGGAAAGAAATCGAAATAGCATATAACGTATGAGTGCACAGGATATATTTTAACCTGCGCGATACATCAGACTAGGAACACAGTATAGTAAACTCCAACTACTAATTCTATTCTAAATCTATTCGCATATTTATGTACATTAGCATGAGAGAAACATGTTAATTTTGGTTCTTGTGATGTTCAGGATTTGAAGGATTACATGAGACAAGCTGGAGAAGTGACTTATGCTGATGCTCATAAGCAACGTAGAAACGAAGGGTAAGTGACTTTGTTGATTGAGAATGATAAGTTAAAATTAAGTCACTCTGTTTTAATAACTAAAAGAAACAGTAGGAAATTATAGCAAGATTATTTATAAAAAATATTTACGCATCTGTATTGTCTCATGTTATATTAATCTAACGATTTATGATTGAGCAGAGTTGTCGAATTCGCGACATATTCCGACTTGAAGAACGCTATCGATAAATTAGACGATACAGAATTGAACGGCCGCAGGATTAGACTCATCGAAGACAAGAGACGTGGTCGTCGTTCAAGATCCTCTAGTTCACGCTCACGTTCCCGATCCCGATCTCGATCACGTCGTCGGTCGCGCTCCCGTTCAAGGTATAATCGTCGTTCTCGATCCCGATCAAGGTACTGTCGGGGCGACATTACGCCACCTGTTATGTTTTCTATTATGATTTATCTTTATTTAGATACAGTTTTGTAATACGACAGTCTACAAAGCGATCCATTTATTATTTTGTCCAAATTTATTATTTTTTAATTAAGTTTCTGACATGTTTTTATTTTTGTATTAAAGTAATTTGTCACAAAACTTCTTATTCACACTTAATTTTTTATTAACTTATAAATTTATTTTTGTTTTAAGTTCGTTTCTATTTTATTTGATTTGATCAAAGTTTTATTTTTTGCAAACACGATCGCAAAACTTATCGCATAATGAAATAATTTGCGATAACATCATGGAAACCGTTTTAGGATATTAAGTACGCCTTATTGCTGTTTTTTATAATGTAGAAGCCGTCGCAGTTCTCGTAGCCACAGCCGTCGTAGTACCCGTTCTAAGTCAAGAGCGCACTCGAAGTCCAAGTCCAAGTCTAAATCCAAATCTCCCGAGCGTAGTCGTTCACGCTCAAAATCCAAGTAAGTATCTTAGTTTTATCAATCTGTTTACTCTATTCATAACTATGTATATTTATTTCACTTATTTTATTTTTTTTTCTTGCGCAGTTAGTCACAGTCAGTGTACACTCATTCCCATTTATTATTGGCATTGTTTTTGGGCTGGCTACGTGCCTTGAGCTCTCACGCTTAATCACGCTTTATACGCGTTCACCTATTCGTATCACCGTACGCGCGCGCTTGGAAAATGACAGAAAAAAAGAAAGCGAGTTTCTTTGTATTTTGTCAACTTTCTCTACTTTCGTATCCCTTTCATTTTGAACTATAATTTTGCAGATCAAGAGACCGCTCAAAGTCGAAATCTAAGTCAAAGTCCAAATCCAGATCTCGTTCTAGGTCCAAGGCTGAGAGGTCAAAGTCCAGGTCGCAGTCCAAATCCAAAGCCAAGTCTCCCTCAAAGTGAGTCCTCTCGCTGGCCTTTTCTTTAATCGATACATAATTGGCGCAAGAAAATAAAATTTCTCGAACGATGACACAAATGCTGAACTCCTTAAACTTTCCTCCTCCTTTCAGGGATAGGTCGAGCCGCGAGCGTTCCAGAGGTGACAGATCCCGATCCCGATCAGGAAGCAAACATAGCAAGAGCCGTAGTCGCTCTCGTTCGCCTATGAATGGTGACAAATCGCCGGAGAGCAGCAAACAGAAAGCCGATTAAGCAGAGAGATAAAAAAAAATCTGCAAACTATTTGTTCTTTTTTTCCCTTCTTTTTTGTTCTTTCTTCAATCATTTTTTATATTCAATCGCATTAAAAAAGATCACTATCTCATATTTTCTATTCATTAATCTTAATGAGGTTTTAAACCTGTGTCGATGCTCTCCCTTCGATATAATTTGAACATTTTAAAGATACAATCAAAGTTTTTTTGTAAAAAACAACCAACATTATTGTTGATTTCAGGTAATTTTTGATTTAATTACTTAAATCATAGTTAGCCATGGCTTTTGCCTTTCATTTTTTTATTACATAGATATCATTAGGTTTAGCGATACACATCATCTGATCTATACAATTCGCGTATTTAGATAAGTATTCTTTATTCATACCTCAAGACTACAAATCTTTTCATTGTATCGCCGTATATGATACGAGTTTCCTTATAATGGCTTTTTGTATATATTCCTAATGGTTACATTACAATAAGAAAGTATGTGATGTGTATTAAATTTAGAGATAAGAGGTGTCTCAACTGTCAATAAAAGTTCATGTCGATGCAAATTAATATTTCATATCCAAATCATTCCCAATATCATTCCCAATTATTTGTTTCGAACATATTTAAATATCGAATATTCCATAATTGCGCATTAGTATGTTTATTTAGTATATAGAAGAAATTAAAAAAAAACATTGCAATCAACTATTATAATTTTAGAGTTCATAAAAACGACTCTTATTATATTAATTCCTAATTACTATCTTATTTTTTAATAATTTTTTTCTATAAAGACTACTCCAAAAGATAATAAAGATTATCGCACATCTGTCATTACCAAATGGATAAATAAAAAAAATTAGCAAAATTATATCTTTTTATTTCTGGTTATTTCGAGTTCTCAGCTTAACTAAAACGGAACTTTACGAACGAACATGTGACACGCAGATGTGCCTACATGGGACTCGGATGACTCACTGACGTGTGTCAACCCTAGTATTTTCGTCTCCTTCCACCCCCTAACATGTTGGGAATAGATAGGCATCACAAACTCGTTGTCCAGCTCGAGAACGAGAGGGAGAAGGAGAAAAACAAGGAGAAGAGGATATAAAAAGATCGTCGCCAAGAAGAAGCCGCGCCGTCGTTCAATGCCAAATTCGCGGTGCCGGCTGTGCGTCGAACGTAAATTCCCAGTCGTCGCTGAGGGTGAGTCAGTTACCCCTCCGCATGACGGTCAAGGAGACGATCGGAAAGAAAGACGCAGAAAAGGGGAACGCGATTAATTGACGTGATTGGGGAGGTAGGAGCTAAGCGACGATTGGTCCCCATTCGTGAGCGGTGGGGTCCCAGTCCAGGAACGATATGTGCACTCGCAAGACCCAGATGCTATATATATTGTGCACGTGTGCTGTAAAAGAAATGAGATATGATTTACATATAACTCGAAATATATTTCTGTGTACATATTAACATGGTATGAACATTATATTCTTTTTCGCGTATATAAAAATTGAAAAGTTAATTCTAAATTAACTCTACGGAGTATAACTGTAATTTAGGTTTATTTATTTATTTCTTCTCTTATTTATTAAATACTTATATTTATTAAATTTATTAAATTAAAAATTTCTCACTTTCAAACTCCAAATATACATATTAATATTATACAGTAGTTCACAAGAAGAGATTTAACATGTTGAAAATAAAATATATAATAAACAAAATTAAACTAAAGATTTCCTTTTTTTTTGTATGATATTACTAGTATTACAATGAACTTGTTTATGAACTATCTAACTATTTCAATTTCCAGCGCGTGTTAACGGCATTGAAAGGCACTGCGGGCACTTCATCAAATCCTTTTCAGCCTTTTCTGCGCCGATCCTGACGAGAGGGGCCTGTCATCCTAAGAGGGGAGGCTGCTGGTAGAGGGGGATGAACGACGGGCGCTGTTTGACGCTGTTACCTGGTGTTACGTGTCGCAGAAGCACTAACCGGTCAGTCAGTATACCGTCTCGTTCCTGCCCTTGAACAACGTCTGCTGTTCGACAGTGTCCGCGCCTACCTGCGCCCTAGAACCTGCACGCGTCAACTGACAGGTCAGTGCACCCTTCGTCGCGAGTTACACCGTAGTTTCCTCACAGCTATGTGCGTCCAATGGCGGATTAAAAGCGAGCAGAACGAACCGGCCGAAATCGTAAATATGTACTTAGCGAACATTCTCCAAAGACATTTCAAACGTCTCCCGGATTCCTGTGTACTCTTAAGGAAGTTACTCGCTCGAAACAAATTCACTTTCCAAAAAAATTAACCGATGAACGACAGCGAGCATCATTTTCTTCTTCCTCTCATCGTCTTCTGTCCTCGCTTTCGCATATTAAGTTGCAGAAGTGGGAAAGAATTGACATCGAGACTAGCGTGAGAGCGTCGAGGAACCGTGATATCCTGTGCAGAAAGTGGTGCTTTCGATACTTTCCTTCGTGAGGCAGCGAAACGTTTAGCAATCTGTTCTTCACTTGCGAAATATCTCAGCTGAGATTTCGCATTCCCGTAATTGGCGAAGCTAATAAGTGATTTTTCTTCAAGGATAATAGTGATCTGGAAGTAGAGTTTCGATCCCGTGAATCAATCACGGAACCGCCTTATAAATCGGCGTTATCACGATTTCCCGGCGTTACGATTCTCGCTTGATAATTCAACGCGAATATATTATAACTTATCTCAAGTAATAGTGTGTCTTTCGTACAACGCTCGCAGAGTTCGTTATAATCGAATTATTATCGAATTCACGCTTTGATATAAACACGCAGCATTGAACCGTTTATGTTTATTCACAATAATTGAAACGCGACATTTCGGCGTGAGTTCCATTTTTGCTAGTAGCGTGGTAATTAAATTTGATTGTCGCTTTACAGGTAAATAATTTCTATGCCTGCAGCGATAATAGGAATATTATAGGATGAATTTTCCGTGACTGTAACATATAATAAATTAAATTACATACCTCGAAATTATACGTTGTCTCCACCGACCAGGCTTGCACCAAGATATCGATCGGTCTTTCGTCGCGATCGAAAATGGACCCGGGGTGTGGTCGAAAGGAGTCTCTTTTTAGAAGAAAACAACGTTTTCCTATTCATTCGTCTCCGTAATTGAGCGGTGGCATCGCGAATTAATGATGTTCTTCGTGGAATATGACGAAGAGTCAAACGAAACGGGAATGAGTCATTTACCGTTTTAATAATGAATGTTTCATCATAAAAAACCTACTATAATATACGATGCTCATTACCGTATTTTATGCCCATTATAGTATTTTCCTAAAATTACAGTGCAGGCATAAAATACGTATTATTAAAACGTAGGTAAATTAGACTTTATCGCTCACCGACAGGGATTCTTTTCTTTACTAGTAATACCTCGTATGCATTGTATTATATCTCATTGTAATTATGTACATGCATAAGGATCGATAAGATTAACAGACTCAAATTAATGAGCCTGAATTAATGAGTGAACTGTATCGCGTGAATTTATAGTGTTTTCGATTGGAGCAATTTAAAACGTTCCGAAAGAGCGATGAAGTTAAAGTTTAAGGAAACTACTTTCCAAACGTGTGTGTTTATATAAACGCAAATGTCAAATGTGCAAAATTAGACAACAAGCTTATTAAAGATTTATTCATCGATTATTCTCTGATTTGCTTCATATATTTTCTCATTATTCTTCATTATTACATTTTTACTGTTTCTTCACTAATCATATTTTTTTTTTACCGTACATTTCTGTTTGTTCTAAAAATTGATTCCAAAATAATAATTTAATGTGTAATTATACTTAGACGTGAGCTGCTAATTAAATTTAATTGTTCTTTCGAAACGAGACAAATCGCTTCAATCGTGGAAAGTCTATCTGGGAACTTTCTTACTCTATATATATATATATATACATACATACATACACACACACACAGAGAAAGAGTAAGAATATATATATAGGCGAATAACGCGAAGCAGCAGAATGGGGATAAGGGCGTGGTTTTGACAGATGCATACAACGCACGCGGAGTACGCATATGCGTCTTTCTCGTCATCGTCGTCCTCGTCGTCCTCGTCGTCATCGTCATCGTCGTCGTCATGGTCGTTATCAGTCCAATGCTCATTTTCCCTCATGTGTAGCACATTCGGCGCTGATTTTTCATTACAAAATGATTTCTGGAAATAATGATATGAATACTAATTATTTTTAATTTACAACTAGTAGATATTGATGCAATGTTTAATTAATCATTATAATTCTTACGTTTAACATCGCATACATTTTTAAAATCCAAGAAATTATGTATTTATTTTTTATTTATAGCATTAATCATTATCATAGGCAATTTCCACGTGTTTTGCGTTTTTCTAAGGGAGAATCGTCATTGGGCGTTGCATTTGCATTTTATCATGTCTCGAACGTGCGCTCGTTTCAAGGCGAACGAGGAGGCTTCTGAATAAGCGCAACTCCGTCGTGAATTGCGCGCTTCTGTGCCTTCATGCAATTGCGTTTACCCGGCTCAGCTCGCTCGCGATTAGCGTCTCTCAAATTGCGAGACCATTTCTGTCTCATGAACAGTGGCGTTACTAGGCGAACGTATATATATTCAGAATATTCTCTTATATCTCGCCACACATCAGCCGGACAATACCTTCGTTTTCCTCAGAGTTGTAGCACTTATATATACAGATAGCAGTCTTATTTCTCCTTCAGTTCGTTTCATGTTTGTAATTAAATGGATGAAAAGTACACATAACATCAGATCCCTGAATGGAACATCATTCTCCGTCTCGACTTTGAAATTCAAATTCGTATTGAATGCGTGTTTCCTACTAGAACGCTAAAATATTTCATTCGATTTGAATGCGAGGCTTCAGAGGAGAAAAGGAATAACGATATCAGTGATATTATTACGACAATCATCCCTGCCCGTCACGAGTTGCGCGAGACGAAGGATGTGATTCTCGGCCCTCCGTCGAGGGCAACCGCCCTCTTACCCATGACCATGAAAACCGGGATGCGCCATCAGCATAGAGTTCACGGACCCCGCTCACACTCTCCTTCGGACGATGCCGGCAATGCCAATCGATGAAACCGTCTGCCGCGGCAGCCGCCACCGTCACCGCCGCCTCCGCCGCCGCCTCCGCCTCCACCACCGCCGCTATGAGCCGGCCGCTCCCCTGGCGCAACCTCGGATCTGCCTCCCCCGTTGTTGCATCCATACAAGTTGCGTGTGCATGCGTTTGCGCCCTACCCATTCATGCGTCGCCGTCGCGAATATAAGTCTACATGTGTGTGTCAATATTAGCACGCCGTTGCGCTATCGGAAAGCGGAAGACTCGCCTTCCGGCGATCATCGAATGAGATCTGATTAAACGACGCTTCTGGGAATGTATCGAATTGCAAGTGTTACATCACGATATCAAACTTAATCAACTTCTTGAAAGAAAAGAGAGAATATTAATGAAGTTGTAAATTAATCGGGTATTTTAATAAAATAGAGAATATTAATGAAATTGTAAATTAGTCAGGTATTTTGATAAAATAGAGAAATTTATTGAAAAATCAAAAAATTGACAAAAAGCCAATTGAGATTGATATATGATACGTTTTTTCAGGTTGAAAAACTTGGAGATTTTATTACCTTCGTGGAAGATAAGCTTCCGAGTATACATTAGCAAACAACTGATCTAGATTTTAATTGACTGTAAGCGCATACATGCCGGCAATGAACATACCGAGGAAGCTGTGGCGTGAGTTAATGAGCTCAATGCCTCTTTCTAAATCGTGATTTCGCGTACATTGCCATAACCGCGCATGATACCACATGATACAGAGGAGAATGACTTGAGCAAAGTTGGCGTTAATTGATGTTCACTGCATACGTTCAAGCGCCAGGGAATATCCCGACGTGTATTCGCATCATGTCACTATATTGACCAAGAGATTCAGAGCGATATTTTTATTGACTAACTTAATTAATGAACGTTAAGTATATTCTTTCAGGAACAACAATTTATGATGTGTTTAGTTTGTTTTTTTTTTTTAATTTCAATATTAGTGGCAAGGGAAAAATAAATCATAATATATTTTTATTTCATTCTTTCCATTTTAATTGCTATAGACTTAAATTGAATAAAATGTTATATAATATTAGGTGTTGGAATTAATTCATAGCGTTTTACAAGTGATGGGAAGTATTTTCATTAATGTATTTTTTAATGCTCATGTGAAATAAATAACATTCTTTCATTAAAAACGCTACGAATTAATTCCAACACCTAATAGAAAAAATTAAATTATCTAACAATTAATAAAAATTAGTCCTTAAAAGAAGTTAATGCTTCACGTGTCTTCAACTTCTCGCAACTTCTACACACTTTTGGATCTTAATGATTCGTGTCTCTCTCATTAACGTTGTTGAAGTTTTTGATTGAAGTTTTAATTCGAATGAAAAAATGTTTTCATGGAAATTCCATTGAGCTAAGGAATATCGAATTCCAAGTAAAGGCTGCATGCATATGGTCATTTTAGCAATCTTTCAATCATTTCGATGGTCCTGTTTAGCAGAATGTTTATTTTGCAAAATTTTGTTGAAAGATTTCGCCACTGAGACTATTCTTCCAATCTAAAAGTGTACAAATCTAATCAGTGCGAAGAAAACTCCCAATAGTTGCAAAATAAGCATTCTAGTAATCGTGGCCAATTTATTTTGACAAGTATTTTAGCTTGGGAGATCCAGGAACTAGGGTTGGTAAAAAATATGTTTTAAATAGTTTAAAATATATTTAATTGATGTTTTTAATATGTTTTAAATATGTTTTTTTATAGCACTATTTAAAGCATATTTGGATCATTAAAAATATCTAGTATTTAAGAAGAAATACAATATATTCTATTCTTAAAAAAAACATTAGTCTTTATCCTGCTAGAAACGAACTTTCCTTTCAGTTCGTCAGAAGTCGGTCTAGTCATAGCAGAAGTATTCGATATCTAGACGTTAGTCGATATCTCTACGATTCGGATGGTATTTGTATATAGTACGGTGTCTATATACGTCCCTGGTATGTACGCGCCGCCGCTCGATACGATACGCGCGTCCAGGGTTCGTTAGCCGTCACGGTCGCACGGAAGAGAGCTGGAGAGAGAAAGAGAAAGGGGGAGAGAAAGAGAATCGCGGTTGCTCGACGGTCGCCGTTGCTCGGTAAAACGTTTTTCTCTAGTTACAAATACGAATGTAGTTACGGTGGTTTCACGTGGGTATTGTACACGCGTAGGTGTTTGCCGTTCTCTGGAACCTACACCACCGATCGATACAGGCCCGTGCACGTCGTTGCACGTGTGGACGCGTGGCGCGAAAGAGACGAGAGCCGGTAGCAGAGAGTCTACCATTAAATACGATTGCCCAAGTTAATTGGCAACCAGCGCGAACTCGTTAGCCAGCGATCGTAGAATCTCGTTCCGCGGACCGAGCCTACGACAGTGCATCGTCACGAAGAACTTCCTTCGACCAGCGGTCGTTTCTGACAGGATCTCGATTTTCATGGATTTAAAGTCAATTATAGTATGACTTATGTTGTTCATTTCTATCAAGTGACTTATGTCCATTTATATTAACTTTAATCTCTGTTTACTTTTTATCTTTTTCCTTAGTTCTAAAAATTAGAAAAAAATAAAGAGCAAATTACACTCAAATTAATCTATATTGATAAAAATTAATGAAGTTATATTCGCTTAGCTTAACTATTTTCTGTCGTTGCCTACTCCAGAGTCTATGATACAGATATATTTCTGATTCTTAAACTCGTTATGAGATAAGCTGTAACATGAATGAACTTCTTGTTTCTCAATGATTTGAAATTGCTTCAATAAATTTGTATCAGCAAAAATTCAACTAAATTGTTAAGTTTCTAAGACCTGTTCCAATTTGAGTTCCGGAGCCAAAACGCAAAGCAGTAAGAGAACTGTAAAGTATCAATATGCATCTGAGTAACGCTTATCAATACTTTACAGTCCCCGAAATCTTACTCACATTAAATCTTTTTGCGTGGCTTTGCGTTTTGGCTTCGAAGCTCAAATTGGATAGGCCTGTTCTAATATATGACTAGACCAATTTATCAAATAAGTAATAAGCCATAGTTTCTAACATTTGGAAAATATTTACAGGTCGTCCGCATTAATGAGGATGCACGACCTAGAGCCATACTTTCCTCGTTTGAAAATGAAGTACTAGAAATCGTGCCTCATACGACACTCATATGAAATATCACTCTGGATGCCTAATCTATCTCGATGACTCTACCATCAGTTTCTGCTGCGCATCTCGGCTACATTGGCAACCTAGTTTCCTCGTTAACTTCTCGCGGAGGCTCGCTCTTCACCTCGCGAGTACACTCGAGAAGATGAGGCCAAGATTTATCCAAGTTCCACTGTGCGAGCATCGTCGCCGTCGTTTCGCGTCGACTCGCCTCATTAAATACCACCGTTTGCAGTTTGCATAATAACCAATAAGAAGCTTATCCTGTCTGGTTGTTCGCCACGGCTCGGCTAGGATCTACGGATGTTCAATTAAATGGAACTAACGGTCGTTGCGTTACAGCGCTTCTTGTGTCGGCCTTAAAGCGTTCATTTTCTTGCCGATCTTAAATGCGACGAGCGCAAGCGATTCTCATAATAATAAAACTTAATTAATAACGTGTAGCAAAGGTGAGCTATTTTATAAGAAATAATAAATCGCGTTACATCGAGTTATATTGATTTTTATTATTTAAAAATTATTTATCTTGTATAGCGACATTATTCATTATCTAAAACATGATTAATATTCTGAATAGATTAATTGGCACTTAAGAAAACATGAAAATATATTTTTATGCGCATTAATGAATGAAAATCATTTTACAGTCTTGTCTGTTTGTCTATATAGTCTGGCGATAGATTCGTGAAATGTACATAATCCACCGCATAAGAAGAGAGTTATGTTTTATATCTGGCCGCGCGCTTCGTCGTGGTTACGGACAATCGAGATCTCGTCCTCGTCTCTTACCGTTACGTGCAGCCAAGCACACAAGACTTGTGTTTGTGCACACACGTATGTTTCATACGCCTACACAGGCATATGAAAAGAATGAGAAGAAAAAAGAAAAGAATTTAGCTGATACGCGAAGGATATGTGTGAGTTCCCGCTGCTTCTCTGTTGCGTATGCGGCCTCTTTTTCGAGCACTCCCTATATACAGGCATATACGACCGGCTACCATATAAGGACCTATACACAGCCTTGTCGATGCTGACCCACCGTTTGAACGTATCTCTCGAAAGCCTCTCTCACGATCTCAGGAACGTATCGTCTTGGACCCAAAACTCAGACGAGTGACTCGAGAGACCGGTTCGTTTTTTATCAGCATCGTCCGTACATTTACACGCTCAACATAATATAGTTGTACTTAAAAACATTGTAACTCTGAGAAAATATGTTACTGCTGCTAGAGATTCAAATGTTTCCACAAATCTTCGACAAATTTATCATCATGCAATATCATTTATCTTTTCAGTCATTCGCTCTGCAAAATCATTTTGCCTTATAGAATCGTCGTTTGAAAAGCTTTGTAGAAAAAAAGTCGTACAAAATTGATGACCTTGCACTGTCGTCGATGATGTTGCACAATCGTGCCATGTACCGATAATGTGGTTAGTAATCCAACGTCTCCGTGACTTCACCCACGTGGAATGCGAATCTTTTCTTACTCTTCTCTTTTGAATCTACAAGTTTACTCTTATATGGGCGAATTCGATATTATCGTCAATGGCTATTTAATGAGTTTATGGTAAATAATATGGCAAATAATATGGTATACGACAGAAAATATATATGCTCAGTATTTTAATTAATGAAGATAACAGTGATTTTCTTTCGTGTATGAACGATATAATTAATGGTTTATTTGAGATAATATAATTAATATATTGAATATATTGGAATATTAATTTGATTTATTTCCAGATATATAGAAAATCGTTACGTGTGCAGAGAGAAAAAAAAGATTGATTTCGTCATAAATTGCAGAATATAATACGATTAGAAAAAAGCACGTAGGAGTTAAACACAAATCAATACTAATCGCCCACGTGAGCGTAATTAGTATTGCGTTCTTTTCTTACATTTTTTCTCGTTGAGTCATGTAAAGTTTTAAGTATGCCTGAATGCGCACAATCGCTGCTGAGAGCCCATTTGGGTGAAAGGGGGTGGGCAAAGGGGGC